ATCTCATTGTTCAAAGTATGACTCTCCTCCATGTACCCCACCCCACCCCAGTCTTTTGATCTTGCAGGTTGGAGCCCAAGGCGACTTCAGTGTGCTTGCTTTCCACATATATCCATGCAGTCATGTAGAGGATTTTCAGGGGGAAATATTGTGTGTGTGTGTTTGTGTTTGTACACACACACACATACATATATACATACATGGATTTAACCATGGGTTTTAGCCCATTATTTTGACCTTTTGGTGTAAAGGTGAAAAATTAGATTATTTTGGAAGTCCATTTTATCCAGTTTGTAGAACACTGGTATGAAATTATGTTTGAGTGCCATCAGTTTTCTAAATGGGAAAAATTACCCTCTATTAGCATGTTTGTGGGCAGATTAAAAACAGTCTTCATTTGCATAAGGAACACTTACTGATTCTTTATAAAACTAGAAAATTATTTGCTGAATGATAAATTGCTAGCTTTACAGTTAGTTGTTGTTGACAATGAGCTCATTCAAAATGCGTATTGCAGTTTGGTCTACAAGACTGAATTCCTTTTTACTCAGAACTACTGTTTAATGGATTATGTACTTAAACCCTGTTCATACTACATATGAAATGTAATTCATGCTTTTCACTAAAATATTTGTATCAAATATCATGCATATTTAGACTGATTTCTTTTAATGCTGTTTGTTTTTATGATACTTTATACTACAGAGATAACAAAATACATTTGCATATAATTTTAGAAAAGAAAAAAGCTCTCATAGTATTAAGATTAGGAAGCATGACTTAGTCTTTTGAATCTAATGAAGAAATCTTATTACATCATTTTTAAAAAGTTGAAGTGTTAAAACAGGGTTAGGTGCTGAAGCAAAAGAATAGTACTGTATTTGATCTGATTTGTTGCTAAAGGTTATCGGCATATGTAATGAAATTAGTTGCATTCTAAAGAATCAAGAATTAACTTTATCAGAAAATGCATAGGGATACAGATACTAATGGTTTATAGTCATAGTTTACAGCCATGGTTAGCTTGAAGCCCTTTGTTCTGTCTGTCCAAATAGCACTTTTATCCCTGGTTTCAATGAACCACAAACAGTTTGTGGTTAAATAATTTACCCAAGCTTTTTTGAAATCAGAAATTTAAGTCTGTTACAATTACAAGATGCAAAAAGATTAATTAAATAGTGCTGCTGTTTTCTTTTTCAAAAATTTCTCAGCACTGGATATAATTTCCACTGAATTGTTTGGCAATAGATTTTCTGCTGTTTTAAAATTTTCTTATGTTTCTTTAATAGTATTCTTAAGGGGAAAAAAACTTAGTTGCCTCTCTTTCACCATTTTTCGCTAACTGTAGCAAGAGTCTTACATATGTCACTCAGCTACTATAAAAGTGCATTGCAGTTTTTCCTTTGTGGCAGATGGATTTAAAACTTGACTTCTCAATAAATGTAGGTTTACAATACATAACTTTACAGGATTTGTGTTGTATATAACAGGTTTGAACACATTATCTCAGAATTCATCTGCATGGCATTTTCAGCTTATCCCAGGCCCCATGCCAGTATCTTAAGTAATAGGGAGAGAGTGTAGTGATTGATAGCAGCTAAAGGCGTGATTTTGAATAGAAACAAAGGCTTTAGAACAGAAGGTGTCAAATTAAACTTTGTCAGTTTGAAAAGTAGTAACATCCTGAAAGTTCATCTACATATTTACATGTGACTAATGTTTATATTTTGCTTTGCTTTGCTCCTTCTTTATATGCAGTGCAATGCTGCCTGGCAGAGTTACTGCACAGCAGTGAAGGATGTTCCGACTGCCGTTTTAGGATATATTTTTTCCCAAATATGTACCAAGTCCTAAGGGTAGTCTTCCATATGTGTTTTTGTATATCAGTATAGATGGGGTTTTTTTTTCCTTTTTTAATGAATACATCATTTTCGATGGAGAAAAAACAAGCCCACACACATTTCAGCTATTGTTCTGGATTAAGCTAGTCAGTCCAAATAGTGATGCATTCGCTTCTAGCATATTTCCAGTTGTGTAGGCCACACATTTCAGTTTTGATTTTACCCAAATGAACATGCTCCCGGTGAGAGAGATTTGAAGCACGATGTGGTTTTCATAATGTTACAAATATTACAAATTATATCTCTAAATTTTCATTTGTATTGTTTGCTGAGTTTGAATCCAATTAGCCATTTTGTTAAACAAATAAAATATGCAAATTGAAGCCTAGCAAGAGAATTTTTTATAAAAGCATCTCCCATTTGCAACAAGGATAAGGATGGAAAGGGTATCTCAGAACGTTATGAAATTAATACGTTAAATAAACATGGACTTAGCCTATTTGGGAAAAAATGTTAAAAATATTATGTTTTAAATTTAAAATGAAATTGTATATTGCCCCGCTCACAATATCATTTCAAAAAGTTTAAATACTGTGTTAACCTATAAGCAAATGAGGGATAATTTAATTTTTATGATGTTAATACATGAGACAACAAGTGTTTCATGTTTTAACTTTGGGTTTACATTTTGTCAAAAACCATTGCATTTTAATCTTTTAAAATTACTGGACCATCCTAGAAAAGCTAATCAGATTGTATTTAAACTTGCAATTCATCACACTATTTTGGGGTGAGGAATTGGAAGTATTATTTCAGGGCAAAGGTTAATAGCAAACTACTGGAAATGTTTTATCAGTCATGGGCAATTAATAAGGATATGTTGACACTTGGAAGATAGAAGTGACAAAAAGAGCAAAATACTTTCTAAATGAGTAGATTTTTTTGTGGATTTTTTTCAGAATTGCTTTTTAACTCATGCAGACTAGGTTTTTAAAGATAGATGATAGATAGATAGATAGGTTCCATCTATTTATTTTGCCAAATATATCTTTGTAGATATAAACATATTTTATAACTTTTTAAAATGGCATCAAGATTTTAGTCCACAAAAATTAAATATAGGGCAGAATCCCTTGTTAAAATTGTTCATTACCAATCAGGTAATTCTGCCCTTCATACATATATTCCTGATACCATAGGCTTATTCTGGTTGAAACACAAAGAAGGCAGACTTATACGTAATAGTACTATGAACACTTCAGAAGTGCTTCATCTCATGCAAGTACAGCTATTCTCTGCTGTAATTCATTAAAGCAGCCTGATTTTTCTCAGGTTTCCACTGGAGTCTAAAAAGGATGCTGTTGCTTTTTAAATAGCTGCAGTGGATTCCTCAGAGCAGTAGCGTCTTTGTTTCTTCTCAAGCTTGCACAGAAACATGAAAAATCTTGGGCTGCTTTAATGAATAGCAGAGAGGTTCTAACTTGGCTGGCTTACTGTGCTCTATAACCAAAAAAAGTAGTTGCAAACAAGACTTCTTTTCTAAACTTGGTTGCAATTTTCAAAATATTTTTTATTAACTTTGTAAACAAAGATGCTTGTTTACCTGTACTGAAATGGTCCAAAATGTGTAGCATCAATGGGACAGCATGCTGATCCTCTTGCCTAAATGATATGTACATATTAAAAAAACATATTTTTCACTGGATTACATACTGTGCTGGATATTTGTCATCCATCATTAACAGGAATCAATCCAGAAGAAAACCTTAAGCATACTGTTCCACTCTATTCAATGGAAATTCACAACCTAGGCAGACTAAAACATTTATTTACATTTTTAAAAACTATACTCCATATTTCTGATACTTAGCAGTTCCCAGGGCCTTTTCAGTGGTTGCCCATCCCATTTATCCCTGTCCTTCTGTGATTTATAAACATCCTGTAGTCTCAAGGCTTTCGTTGATTTTGTTGATGGTTGTTAGAGTTTAATCTGATTTTATAGATTTGTTCCTTGTGTTTTAATTTTCTTATTGCATTTTAAACTGTCCTAGAGGCTTGGTCTTCGTAAGCAGTATTTAAATACAGAAACTTAATGTTAAAATATTCTTAAACGATTCTATAGTTAAAGTATTCTAGCATTTAAACCTAAATTGCCATAGCCAATTATGTATCAGTTTTAGTGTTTGTCTTGATGCATTTAGACTGATAAAACTAAACGTTGGTGTTCTTTGTCATGTTTGCTCAGTTTCAATACTAAAAAAAATAACGCTATTGATATAATTTAAGATGGCATGTAGGCAATTGCTAAACTGTTAAGGAAAAAAAAATCTATGCATCTATTTTAGAAGGAAATTAGCATTTGCTACAGTTCTCTTGGGACAATCCTTTGGCATACTTTCAAGCTTGCTTTCCCCTAGAACGTATCTGGGTTAAAGCAGGTGCTTTTACAGAAAGTTTGCATGCATATGGAGAGGTTGAAGAATATGGTCTTGTTCATATAATGCTTAAAATCATAAGTCTAATTTGCAAATCTTTTTTCAAAACCAGAAGACCTGAATTGGCTAAAAAATTATCAACAGGTTTTGATTTGTCTGCAGAGCCCATCTGAGCACTTAACAAGAAAGAGGATACCCTGCTCAGTAATGTTTCTTCAAATAGGTTCTGTATTATATGATTAATGTGAACCAGGTCTACAGTCAGGCTAGATATAGGATACATTCTCTAATTCTGAATTAAAGAATAGCGTCATGATTCTTTAAAAAATAAAAATGTAATACAGGTGTGTTTTTTTCTGTCAGACAGATACAGACTTATATTTGAAAAGCCAGCATTGGAGATACAATAGTAGAGTGAACTAAAATAGCATGTTATTTTTCCTTGTATACCTGGAATAATGATGTGCTGCTGTTGCTTTCTCTTAACAGCAATGCAAGGGTATTAATCTTAATGTAGACATTTATTTACTAGTTATAATGATATCTGATAACTGAGACTTTGTCTATAAAATGTCTATAGGATTCTCAAGAAGAAGAAAAATGAAACAAAACTGTGCAAAGATGTTTACTTTGTTCTCAATTCATTCAGTTTCTAAGGAAAGTGCTTTTTGGGACCTAAGTTTTTGATAAGGTTGTCTAATATTTTGCTGATAATTGTCTTAAGGGCTGGCTTTGTGAACTCTTGCGTTGGAAAGAAGATCCCTCACCTGAGAATAGAACTCTCTGGGAGAATTTGTCAATGATCCGGAGGTTCCTCAGTCTTCCTCAGCCTGAACGAGATGCCATTTACGAACAAGAAAGCAATGCAGTTCATCACCATGGCGACCGGCCTTCTCACATTATCCATGTTCCAGCAGAGCAGATTCAGGTTAGTTTACCTTGACCAATTCAGTTTAGGAGTAAGAAGAAAACAAAATACTTATTCTTGAGAGAAAAACCATTCTACCTCTTCTTGTTTTGTTAAATAGAAATGTTTTAGTATGAATTAAAACATTCATCTTCAGTAGAATATGTGACTTTTTTCTCAATGCAAAGGCATGTGTGCAGATTCGTTTTAGAATCCCCCAATCAGCAGGTCCTCCATGTTGTGTCCCCAAAGTTCTTTTTAAACTTAAAAAATAATGGGTACGTGCAAGAGTTGCTTAAAAGTGGTGGTCACTCATTGAATAACATGTATGTGGTTGAAGCATTTTTCCTTTTCAGCACCTTTTACAACAGCAGTTGGGTGGGCTGCTAAAAGTGATAATAAAAAAAATGGTGCATATGCACGCCTCTCACATGTGGCCATAATTTATAAATGCGCAATGCTTAGATATTTTAGGTGTCATACTTTTAAAATAAATTAAAATAAATTCAATGATTCATTTAAGCAGAGAGAATAGGAAGTTTCAGCCCCAATTTCTCATCCTACTTACTTACTTACCTAGTTTGAAAGCTGGGATGAGTCAATGTTTGTTTGTTTTTCCTTTAGAGCCCCTCTCCCACCACCCTTGGGAAAGGAGAGCATAGAGGCGCTTTCTTACCTGGCCTGCTGACTACTGGACCTTGGCTGGGTGCTGCTCCCCAGGTGAGCTGGCACAAGTTTAATGTGTCAAGGAGAGACATGGAGGGGTTTCAGGACTTGATCCAGCTGTTTCCTTCCATTTAAAAAACAGATCAGGGAAAATTGCCTTTTTTGGAATGGATGAGGCTTAATTTTATTGTAACCCATCCTGATAATGTATTTAAAGGGCAGGGTTTAAATATAAATCATAAATAAAATGTGTCTTTTAAGTCTATTTTATTTAAAATGTGGGATTAGCCTTTTTTTCTCCTTTTCTGCAAGAAATGGAGAGTCACCTCATTACCCTAAAATTCTTAATCATTTATATTATTATCAAAAAACTATTTATAAAGCTTATCAGAAAACAATTTATAAAGCTTTTTCAGAAGTCCAAAGTAGCATAACTGTGGTATAAAAAATAAAGCAAATGAAGCAATTGGACAGTGGTTGTTCAAAACTGTGGAAGCAGAGTAGCTTACAGTGAACAATTTAGCTAAAAATGGTAGGCAAATGATTATACTACAAAATGTTACTGAAAATGCATGAAAATCACACATATGAATACACTTACTACTGGTAGAAATAAAAGGAAATAATCACGCAGCAATGTATTCCCAAGATTTGTCCCACTGCTGATAAAATTTTGTTGACTTTTGTAGATAAGTCTAATATCTGCAGTCTTAAACATACTTAATAAAATGAAACCCCATTGAAATTAGTAGCTACTAGTTCTAGTAATCGTGGGTGGGTGCATTATTTATTTATTTGTGTATTATTTATATCCCACTTCCTACTCAAGACACTCTAGCTTAACAGTATAAATTAAAACATTAACATCAGTTAAAATTATAACTAATCCAACTCAAAAGGCATAATAAAAAATCCAGTCTTGACTGGCTTGGGCTACAGCACTAGCATAAGAGCTAAGAAATCTGCTCATAATATGCAAGACTCTGCCTTCATAATGTGCAGTACTAGTGACCCCATATTCGCAGAAGATATTATGTTTCGTACACATGGAGACTATATACTCATGTAGAATTGTTCATGAGAAATGGGAACTTGTGGACTCCAGTTCCTGTGAGCCCAAACAACATAGCCAGTGGTCAGCATTCATGCAACATGGAGTTCAGCAGCATTAGGCAAGCCCCAAGTGCCTCGTCACTGGTCTAGAGTTATATTATTTGTCCAAAGACAAGAATTGTGTTACTTGATGCTAAATGTAGAAGTGTTCTAAATGATTAATTTTAGATCAGCACTTTTTATTTTACTATATCCATGTGCCGGACTTTGTCCAGGTTTCTCAGGGTAGCTACATTGTTACACACACACACACACACACACACACACACAAACTTTGTT